GAGGCCCCCCCCGAATCGGCACCATGGCCGCCTGCAGGCTTGTCTTCAGTTTGAGGCTCCCCCTCTCTCAGCGTTCCGAGACTTGAGACGTCCACCGAGAAAGCAAAGCAGGACCAGGGTCCATGTGCGCCCCATGCGGCCCCCAGAGCCCCGCCCAAGCCCAGAGTGCGGCGCCCTCCCGCCGGCGGCCCTGGGCCCAGGTACCTGAGCACGCGGTCTGAGGCCTGCTGGGACTTGGGCAGGTCGCAGCTCTGGTGCTTCTCCTGGGCCTTTGCCAGTTTCTCAGCCGCGGCGATGGGACACCCCGACAGGCTGCAAGGACAGGAGCCCGCTGTGCCTGGCGCAAGGCCCTGACCCCATCCCGGGTGGCCAGGCAGGTGGAGTGGGGCTGGGTCTCTCCATGCCAGTGGCCTGTACTGCAGGTCACGCTGCCCACACCCTGAGCCAGTGGCCACTGGCCACTACCATGACCCAAGGCGGCAAACTCACCCATATGGGCAGGTGCCAGCCGGGAGCTGGGCCCTGGGGTGGGGGAAGGAGCAGCTGAGAGGTCTGCTGGGCAGCGCCACCTCGAGGGGCAGCAGGAGCCTGCTGGCGGGCACCCACTCAGCCCATGAAGGGAGATGATTCTGCCACTGGCCCAGGGCAGGCCCTCGGACGCCCGGTCTGCTGGCCACAGCCGCCCACCGGGTCCTGCCGGGTCCTGCCGGGTCCCGCCCCAGAGGCTCCGCCCCAGAGGCTCCGCCCCCAAGAGCCCCCGCCCCAGAGGCCCCGCCCCCAGAGGCTCCGCCCCCAGAGGCCCCGCCCCAGAGACCCCGGCCGGCTGTGCTCACCTGCGGTGAGAGTTCCTGTTGCTGTTGACGTGCCCGCGCCCTGTGCAGCCGGGGGTGGGACACTTGAGGACGTTTTCGTGCATGGCGAGAACTTGACAGGGAGAGCAGAGGGCACGCGGTCACCGGGCGGCCGGGCTTGGCCGGTGCGTCCACCACGGCGGCCCGGATACCCATGGGCCTGGCGGACTCGCGTGGGGGGGGAGAAGTGCTCGCCGCGCCCCCGCTGGGGCGCCCAGTGCGCCCCACGGGGTGGCAGGGAGCTTGCTTTTGGCCGGTGGGGGCGGGGAGGTGGGGCGGGAGAGCCGGCGGGTGTGGGCACACTCGGTTACCTGGACCCCAGGGGCCAGCGACTGGCCCTGGCCGGCCCTTGGGACTGGCCTCAGTGGAGGGAGCCGCCCCGTGTCTCTGTCCGGGGCGCGGAACTGGGGAGGGCCGAGCAGTGCCGGGCGCCCGGCAGGCCTCACCCTGCAGGGGCCTCCTGCTCCCTGGACCCCGCATGCGCCCGAGGACAGCCTTCCCTGACCGCACTGGGGAGCCCCTCTTCCCAGAGCCCGGCTGCACGCCCCGCAGGCGGCCTCCTTCCCCTCCTGCTATCCCCCCAACAGGCGCGTGGCCGCCCTCCCCCACTGCACGCATCTTTCCTGCTGGGCCTGCCCTGGACACAGAGCCTTGGCCGTGACCAGAGCGCTCTGATGGCTCCGTCCTGCCGGCCACGGCGCCTGGTCCCGGCCGGCCCCACGTGTCTGCCTGACCATCCTGCCAGCCTTGGGCCCTCGCTGCTCCCTGGGGGCGCCCCGGGG